AAAAAAAAAAAAAACCCAAATTTACGCACTTTTGACGCACGCACGCACACACACGAGAAACGACTTTTAAAATTTCTACAACAACAAGAATTAAATGACAAGTGGAAAATAAATGAACTTTGACCTAATACTAATGAAATAATAATGAGAAATGCTAGTAACAAGTTTTTCCGGTACGAAAAGCAAAAAACTAAAACGAATTTTTTCAAAAACTAATTATTCGGAATGATCGCGTCAGTCAATGAATGAATGAATGAATGAATGAATGTGAATGAAACATTCGACATTTTTTTTTTTTTTTTTTTAATAAAATTTAAGGAACGTTTTGGAGTTTGGCACTTATTATTTACTTTTAAAAAATAAAATAAAAATAAAAAAAAAAAAAAGAAAAACTTTATTTTGCTTTTTTTTTTTAAATAAAAAAAAAAAAATGTGCAAGAATATTAATCGAATTTAAAAAAAAAAATCATCTCATCTCATCATGCACTCTAAATATATATATATATAAAAAAAGTAAAATAATGAGAATAATAATAATAATAATAATAATAATAATAATTTAGGCAAAAATCGTTTCATTCAATTCGACTTCACATGCAACAAAGGCAACAAGAAAATATATATATAAAATTTAAAAAAATCAACAATCAATCAATCAATCAATCAATCAATCAATCATTAACTACAACAATAAGTAAAATTCTAATAATAATAATAAAAATATTAACAATAATAATAATGATAATAGTTTCGTTGTCTTTTTTTATCCATATATATATATATATATATATATATTGTTATATTCGGTTCGTTCTTTATTTTTGTAAGTAATGAACAAGCACTTAAAACTATCACAAACAAAACTAATATTAATAGACAAGAACTTATTACAGCTAGACTAAAAATCAAATGAACCAACGCCAAGCGGTGTAGCTTGCCTATATTACTTTGGTCTTTCGTCAGTCAACTGTTTCGAACGAGCAACAATGGGAACTAGCAAACACTTGCAAATAAAATAAAAGAAGGAGTCTTTAGAAGCTTCGCTTCTAAAGAAGAACAATTCGAGTTCGTCGCCAGTCTTTTGTTTATAAAAATTTGAAAATGTGAATATTGAGTACGGGATCATAACACCTCCCCCCTTAAGACGGAAAACAATTATTTTGAAAAAAGAATTTGTTTTCTCCTCTTGTTCGGATTTGACAGTTTCCTATGTCGGGTTCTGAATGGTTCCGTCCAGGTTGAGACTCCTTGAGTAGTAGTAGGTGCTATGTCTTCTGTATGGTAGACTGTTGTATCTCTTCACATTGGCTTCTTATCAGGAACATAATTTTAAGCTTTATAGTTGCAAGTAGTAGAACCTTTCCTAGGCAATACTCGTTAGTGAACAATGTTACATAAAGAGTAAAGATAAAAGAATAAAATCAAGAGACATGAAATTCGAAACAAAATTGACATAAGTTCTGAAAAATACAAGAATTTTATATAGGAAACATAGAATAATGATTAGAAATAGAATAAATGGATTAATAATAAAATAAATGATGATTAGCAGTATGAGGAAAAATTAAAGGATTAAATTATTATTATTTTGGATTTCTCTCTCTTTAGATCAACTACTCAGAACACGGTTTTGCGATAAGTAACTTCCTTGTTACGGATTTTTAATAAAACATTTTTGCCAGATTTTTTCTTGACCTCGTATGGATCCTTAAATTCAGGACTAAGTTTTTCATTGAGATTTCCTCTTGCTAATTCTTGACTGGTTTGAATCTTCTCTTTTTCATTAGACGATAGGTGAACTTTACTTAGTAAAAATAGCTTTACCTCAGGAATACTCTCTTCGTGAAAATCGGTTGACATAAGAATGGATGCTTTCTTCCTAGATTTCTTGGTACTGGAATTCCATTTCCGCTTTTTAGTATGCTTCCCAAAATTATGCTTGTGAATTTTTTTAGTAGCTCCTATATTTTTAGTTATAAATGAAATTTTTGTTTTCTTTTGAATTTCAGCTTTAGGATGATTTTTAGGTTTTGAATTCTGTATGGATGATCTTTCTTCTTTTACTTTTAGACCTTTTTTCTTATTTTTATTTTTAGGAAGTAATGGTGCTTCTTTAGCCTTTTTCTTAAATAAATTTGTAGAGGGTGCTTCTTTAGCCTTTCTCTTAGATAAATTTGTAGAGGGTGCTTCTTTAGCCTTTCTCTTAGATAAATTTGTAGAGGGTGCTTCTTTAGCCTTTCTCTTAGATAAATTTGTAGAGGGTGCTTCTTTAGCCTTTCTCTTAGATAAATTTGTAGAGGGTGCTTTTTTAGCCTTTCTCTTAGATAAATTTGTAGAGGGTGCTTTTTCCTCTTGAGCAGGAATTGATCCTGGTAAAGAATCTGTTTTCTCTTCAACTTCAAGTTTGGATTCTGGTAAAGGATCTGTTTTCTCTTCGACTTCAAGTTTGGATTCTGGTAAAGGATCTGTTTTCTCTTTAACTTCATTCAATTTTCGATAATCAATTACTACTCTCCATTTCTTCTCTCCAGAAGCATCAGATTTTTTTGGAACAACCCATAATGGAGACGACCAAGGAGAATTGGAAGGTCTTATAATGTTTTGTTTCAGCGTATCGGTCACCTGTTTGTTAACCTCTCTTTTGTGTATTTCAGGATATCTGTAAGTTTTAGTATAAATAGGATTTTCATTAATAGTATTGATTTTATGCTCAATTGCCTCTGTCGAACTTAAATAATCTCCGGGTAAGTGGAAAATATCGGAATAAGATTCACAAATTTTAACTGTTGATGTTTTTTTCTTCTTCATTAAGATGCTCTAACCTCAAATGGTTACTTATTATTGATTTCCTTTTATGTCGTGGTTCTAGACTTTTTATTTGGAAACGCTGTTTTGAAGCTTTCTCAAGGCGAACTGTGATTGGTTCAATTGTTTCATCAGTCGTTCTTGTATTCAAAATGGTGGCGTAAGCCTCGTTGTTATTGTTTACTTTAACGATGGCACGTGACAAATAGACGCCTTCCATAATTTTTGTGTTATCTTCACAGTGGATACATGTTGATTTTTGTCTGCGATTAATCAATTCTTTTATCAGTTGACTATGGGGTTTCTTGTCTTGATATAATTCTATTAGTTTTTTTTTTACATCATCCCAATTATCCAAATCGTACAAAGAAATTCGATTCTTGGCATTACCAGTGATTCTGGAGTAGATGAATCTGAAGAGTGGATACTTATTCTCTTCAGAGGACAATTCGATAGCATTATCACAATCTTCAATAAATGCGTTAAGTTGGTTCCTTTCTCCGGAAAAGAAATTAGGAACTAGACTACACAAGAAATCAAGGGGTATTTGGGATGGGTTGAAAACAGGTTGATCAAGTTTAGGCATTGTTCACTAAATGAGTTACCTATTAACTACTACTTACAGTATAAAGAAATTCTGATAAAGAGTTAAAACCCACCAACATGAAACGAATTACTTAAGAATTCTCCGGTTTCTTGTCGTTCAGAATGATCCTACCGACTGCGCCAAAATTTTAATATGTTATATTCGGTTCGTTCTTTATTTTTGTAAGTAATGAACAAGCACTTAAAACTATCACTAACAAAACTAATATTAATAAACAAGAACTTATTACAGCTAGACTAAAAATCAAATGAACCCACGCCAAGCGGTGTAGCTTGCCTATATTACTTTGGTCTTTCGTCAGTCAACTGTTTCGAACGAGCAACAATGGGAACTAGCAAACACTTGCAAATAAAATAAAAGAAGGAGTCTTTAGAAGCTTCGCTTCTAAAGAAGAACAATTCGAGTTCGTCGCCAGTCTTTTGTTTATAAAAATTTGAAAATGTGAATATTGAATACGGGATCATAACAATATATATATATATATATATATATATATAAATTCAATACTAAAGCTAACTTTTTTTGGAAGGGGGGAGGGAGGGAGAAATCACACGTGCGAGTACATACGCTCGTTTAATGCGTTCACGTCAGTTTTCCCCTTCCCCTCCCTCTCCACTCGTTGTTTTGTGTCACCATTTATATATATATATATATATATATAAAATAAAATCTAAATGAAACAGCCAAAATGAGCAAATAAATTTATTATTATTATTATTTTTTTTTTCTTTTCTTTTCGTTAAATACAAATAATAATTTTAAACGCGTGAGAGGGGCAGGGGGTGTTTAAATAATAACAATAATAATAATAATTGTGCGAGCACGTGCGCGTTCGTAAGCGTATGCATACTTTAAAAGTAAGTCATAAACTCGTATTCATAAAAGCACGTAAGTTTTTTCTTTTTCTTCTTCTTTTCAAATTTTAAAAATTATTATTATTATTATTATTATTATGATCGTAAAAAAAAAAAAAAAAAAAAAAAAATTAAATTAACTATACTTCAGACTTTCGTTTACACACACACACATACACTATCTCTTCGACACGTGTGTGTGTATTTGTATGCTCCGTAAGCATATAAATGTGTTCTATGTAAAACATTTAATTAAATGCCATGACATATATAACCTTTTGAGACGTTTGGGGGGGTTTTTTTGTGTTTTCTCTGAAGGGTTGGTTCGGTCGCGATACGAACTTTTTCGGATCGGAAGAGTTGCATGTGAAAGAAGGGGTGTGAGAAAAAAAGAAAAATAACGAATGTATGAGTCTGTGTACGATGTATACGTTTCGAACGGCGGCACAAACGATTCATCGATTTATTCGATACGTGGAAAGAAATCGAAAAGCCGGAAATGCATCGGCTCGAAACGGATATAAAAAGTAGTTGTTAACCCCAAGGATTCGAACAGGATAATAATTTAAAGTGTGATTGAATGCGAGATCTTTACTACGAAGCTAAGAGGAAACGGCTGTTTAGAAAATATTTAACAAAAAAAAAAAAAAAAAAAAAAAAAAGTCCTTGGCTATATTATATTTTTTTATACCCTTAAATTTTTTTTAAACTTAAACTACACTAAAAAATTTAAACTATTTGGGAGGAGGCGGAGGAGTTTCCGGCGGAGGTGGTAAATCGGGTGGAGGTTCTAGCGGTAGTGGAGGAGCGTCGGAATTTCCAACCGAATCACCGGTTCCGGGTGGCATGGGCTGTTGCTGTATGAGCGACATGTTAATGAAAGGCACGTTTCCGTAGAATCTATATCCGCTGTTGGGATACACGTAATTATTGTAGTAACCGTATTGGTATTGAATCCCGTTTAAATCGGGATTTCCGGTCACGGAAGAAGGATCGCATATTTGCGATGAGAATTGCGGAGGAGTCGGTTTCGTTTGTGAGCAAGTTTGAAACACCGTCGAAGCGCCGACGCTGCCGCCGCCGCTGCCGTTTGCATTCACGTCATTGTAGTTCATTTTGCTCATGTTCGTTTCCGGTTGCTGTTTCGGATTCGTAAAGTATTGATTCGACGAATATCCGGAATACGAATCGTACCTCCTTTCATCTTTCCTTTCGAAATAGTACTGCGACGAGTCTTTGTTTTGGTAATCCCGATATTCTTTGAAAAACCTTCGGTCGTCTCTTCGTTCTCTACCACCCTCGTTAAAATCCGCTCTACTGTTGTACCTTCTCGTACTCTCGTAAAACCTTTGCCTTTCATCAAACCTAGCCTTATCATCTACTCGTCCCTTTACTGTTCTCTTATCGTCTTTTCCGCGTATTCTAGACCCCCCGTCTTTTTTAAAGTACTTATTGTAATAATTTGGATTTTCCAAAGTGTCCGAAGATATTTTGTTCGATTTCGTCAATGTTTTTTCTACTTGTTTGCTCGACGGTGGAGGAGGGGGGGTTACGTTGTGAGAGGAGGACGTGTACGCGGCGTTTTTATTATTGTTATCGTCATTGCTGCATTCACGGGTTTCACGGGTAATAATAACGTTTTCTTCTTCTTCGGGACTCACCGGAGAAACTTCTTCCGTTTCGCATCGCTTCGAATGATTATCGAGTATTATTTTATAATTTTTAAGTACATCACAATTTTCCAAAGAAATGACTTGATCTGTTTTGTTGGCGCGTTCATCACATTTCGCTTCCGATAATTTGTCGTCCTTTACACAAAGAGAAGAATGACTTTTCGACATCGGACTAGGATTTCTATTGATTAGGTCACTGAAATTGGATAAGTCCGTTTTTGAATGCGACCGTGCTTTGGGAGAATGAATTTCGTTAAGGGGTGAAACAGGTTTTAAAATAATGTCATTGGCAATGTCGCCACAAGAAACGTCATCGACATCATCGACATCGCAACTCTCGCGGAGTTCCGACGAGTTTTTTTTTTTTTTTTTTTTTTTCGAATTTCCCACGAGTTCGCTTATGGCGACACGTTCGCTTTCGTTATTTTTTTTTTTAAACTCATTCTGGCTGTTCTTATCACACTCTTCGGTTTCTTTAACCGTCGTCGTCGTCGTCGTCGGCGAGGTATTAAAATCTTGTTCGAATTCCGAAGCATTTAATGCTTCGAAATCATAATCCGGAGTTTTTATAATACCCTGGCCGTTTTCTTCAAAGTCAAAAGGTAAATCATAAAGGCTGGAAATATCAAAACAAGAGCCATTTTCACTTACCGAAAATCTGTGCGAACTTGAATTTCTGGACGGTCCTTCTGTCCCGTTGGATTTCAAAGAACTCGACGAACTCGATGATGAAGATTTCTTGTCGGTTGTTATTTTCATTAGCTTTGAATGCGGGAGGAGATCGCTCGTAGATTTTGGACTCCTGTCTCTCTTTTTCGTATCACTCTTTGTTATCGACTCTTCCTTATAACCACCTATACTGCTAATAACATCTTTGCTTATTTTTATTTTAAGTTCACCACTACTGTTCGATTTGAGAGAATCAGTTTCATCTTTTTTTTGAAGACAATCTTTAGATATTTTAAATTTTAAACTACCAGATATTTTATCTTTGGGTATCGTTATTTTAATAGGAATCTCCGAACTCACGACATCGATTTCCTTTTCCTTGTGCTTTTCCTTATCCTTATACTTTTCTTTTTCTCTGTATTTCTCCCTTTCCTTTGATTTTTCCCTATCTTTCACCTTGTGCTTTTTCTTTTCTTTTTTCTTTTCCGATTTGTCCTTGTCTTTTTCCTTGTGCTTGTGCTTTTCTTTTTTCTTCTTTTTCTCCGCTCGCTTTTTATTATCCGAGTACTTGAGAACGTCCACTTCTATCGTTTCTTGATTCGTAATCGAATTATTCGATTTGGAAGAATTTTGGTCCACTGATTTATCGGATTGATCTACGAGAGATGACGTAGACGACGATCCGAACATGCTGCTTCCGGAAGAATTTCCGACGACGTTTAAATGTCCGCCATTGGATTTGGGCGGACCCGGTAAAAACTGATTCGTTTGCTTGGCGGGAGAAATACTCGTGTCCACCATTTTTTCAATACCGAGCAAATTGACGGTCGAAACTGATTCGGACAAAGAGTGTTTCGTTTCGGTGAGGGGAAATCCTTGCGACGATTTAGACGTGGGAAGAGATTTTGGATTGGTAGGATAAATAACCGCACCTAAATCACTTCGTATTTCGTTTGAATATTTAACGTTAACCCCTGATTTAGTCACAATGGGTTGCACAATTGCTTCACTTTTCACTGAATTCGTTTTACTGTCGTTTATTAATTTACTATCTTTACTATTTGATTTGTGGTCGGAACTGTACATAAATGTATTCGTATTACCATTATCATTCTTATCATTTAAAACTGTCAATTTTTTTTCTTTTTCTGCACCATGCAAAATTTCGTTAGTTGGAGTCAACGCGACTTTTCTCTCCCGAATTATATTCTCATATCCGGGAGTTTCTTCTATTTTATTCAAAACGGGAATCAGTTCCGGTTCGGATCCACTGCTTGGAGTACGGTGTCTGGGCGGAATGGACGGAACGTTTTTCGGAAGAGGAGGACTAAACAATGAACCTGTGGTCGATGATGATGATGATGATGATGATGATAATGATGTTGTCGATGAAGAGGCAGTGGCCGTTCCTATAATTGTTGTAGGCACGTTTTTTTTCGAAAGAGATGAATTCGAGGGAGATTTATTCAAAGAGTGACTACGATGAGTCGAAGAAGAACTATTTTTCTTCGTATCTTTTTCAAGGCTACTTAAAATATTATGAGGAGGTATTTTACTGTCGGGGCTGAATATACTGGACGTCTTGTTACTTTTACTTTGACTCGTGTCTTGTAAATTGGGTAAACCGGAAGCAGTCCCGTAGTCGTGACTTTTTGACTTGGAGAAAACCCCACCAGCGTTTTTGTTTGTTGTTTCATCCGTTCCGATGATGGGTTTGAGCGATTTCAAGTTCGAACCTTCGTTTCTTTCATTGGGGTTAACTACGGCATTTGAATTTCCGTCTAAACTAAAATGTCCGGATTCCGTTTTTACGAAATTTAAATTAGGCGGCCGAGTCGTCGACGATTTCATTTTCTGGAATCTTTGATCTCCGTGCTGATGATTCGGTAGTAGAATTTTACTCTTGTCGTTTATTTCTTTAGTCATTTTGTGAAATTTTGAAACTTCGTTCGAGTTTCCGCTTCCGTCATGAGCATAAGGCATTCGTTCGAGTTCCTGAACTTTTCTATGCTTTTCATGACTCCTATCACTAAATTTTTTGTGTATATCACTAGAACTTTGGGCACTCGGTTTTTCCCCTTTCATTTGAGGAATATCACTATTTTTACTATTCGAATGATAATGATGAGTTTTATATTTAGAATCGTATATTTTACCGGGATGCATAGATTGCGACTTATTTACTTCAGCGTTCATCGTATTCAGGGATTCCGTTTTGTTTATATCGACACTTAATTCATTTTTACCTAAATTTAATTCAGTTTTTACATTAACAGGCACATTTATTTTTTCACTTTTAACATTTGATAAACTCCAAGAACCATCATCTCCTACGTCAGTCTCGTCAAATTTTTCCGTTTTTACATGGATAGGTTCCATTTTATTATTTATGGTATCTATCACAGATTCATCTTCTTTTTTAATTGGTTTATCTTTTATCTTTGACGCAAAATCGTCCATTTTTTTCTCACCAGACTCGTGGAAATTCAACATTGTTTGTTCCCGTCCGGACTTGATGCTTTCCGGTCTGTAATTGGAGGTCGATGACCCGCCGTGAACGTAGTTCATTCGCGATTTCTCTCGCATGTGTTCTTTCCTATCGTTTGTCATGGAATGTGAATCCTTTTGTGAAACAGACTGACTAATTATATCTCGTATACTCGAAGATGTCGAATCTTTCGTAAGCAATTGGGATTCAATATCTTTACTATTGATTACGTCTCTCTGATTACTAATTAAATAATCTTTTTGATTACTAGAAATGTTCACACCACTGTTTCCAATCATTTGATTTTGATTGTGATGAGGTTGAGGTATGTTTGAACTACTGCTTCCCTGAACGCCGTGACTTCCTCGACTTCCCTCGCGGTGAAGGTAATTTCCAGAATAATTGGATTCCGTCTTGTGAGCATAACCCTGATTTTGTATATTTGAACTTTGTGAATACTGTCCGTGAAAAGAAACATTGTCTTTACTACTTCCTTCCCGATCCGTATGAGGTGGGTGCTGTTTTAAATAATTGCTATCCTTTGCACCCGTCGAAGGAAAACCCTGAGGATTCGAGTCACGATTTTCCTTTAAACCCTGAAAATGAATATTCTGTTGCATTCCATGAGATGCTGGTTGTTGGTAACTTTTATGTGTTGGCGCACTCCCACTTGAAGTTCTCGATTGCACATTTCCGTGAGATTTATTTGGCATAATATTCGCTTTACTATGATGATGATGATGATTATTAGATGTGCTATGTCCATCCCTTTAAAATAATTTTTTTTTCATTTGTAATTTTTAAAGAAGGAAAAATTTCATACCGCGCCGTACTCACTCTTTGAGACTCTTGTTTAATAACAGACTATCGATTCAAAACTCACCTTTGATGCTGTTGTTGTTGTTTTTCTCGCTCCATTCTCTCACGCTCTTTCTTTTCTCTATATTCTCTGTAGTCAATTTTTTGATGGTGTGCATGAGCCGGAGGAGCAGACGGTGCTGACGTACTAGGTTTGTCACTCGAAGACTGAGAACTAGATTTTTGAACGGCAAATAATCCTTCTGGGGGTTTAATTCCTTCAGCACCAGTTAATTTCCTAGGTTCATCCTTTAAAATCGTGTTTTAAATTACCAACACGTTCACGAACGAAATTTCCACCCCCGAAAAAAAAAAACGTTGTTTTTTTTTTTTTTCTTTACTCACAAATTGTAATCGATCCCGAGGCACAGATTGTTGAGTGTTGAACCCAGGCGTATTGTTTTGATTCATAGACATCATTTTTCTTTTTAATTTTGTGGGACATTTGTCTAAAATTGCTAAAAATTCAGCAGTAAGTTGTTCTAATAAATCTATAGTAACTGTTTTATCGATATACCAAAACCAGTCTTTTCCTTCATTAGACCTAGGAATCTACAAAAAAAAAAAAAAAAAAATTAAAACAAAACTTTCAGAATTGCTAAAAATTGTTTAAAGTTTATTCGACACAATCGGAAAACTCGAACAAAAAAATTTTTATTGTTATCGACATATATAACTTACCTCCCAATTAGACCACTTGCAAGCCAGGTGGATGCAAAAGCAAGCCACAACTGTAGGCTTATATTGGAGGCACATTGTAGTTAAATGAAGACTATTTGAAGCCATAAAATATGAAGTTTGTGCTAAGTCTTTGCTTGCTATAAGCCCAACAACATAAATTATAAAACTAATTTTTAAAGAATGAAAGTGAAACATTTAAGTTAAACCTTTTTTTTTTTTTCTTTTTTTTTTTTTTTTAGTAAATATGGATTAAAATATAAAGTAGTCATACATTTCAATATATAATAAAAAAAGAAAAAAGAATTTTCAAGATACTGACCTCTAACAAGATGGCAACATCTCACTACATGAGTGTGTGGATGATCAATAGCAACATCGAAACCCAAGGTTTGTAACAAAACATTTTCATTAAATACAAGATCTTGGGCTTGTTCTAGGTATGACTGAAATTAATAAAAAAAAAAATTCTTTTTCTAGTTTCTCTATTGTGAATTTCTCGAATAAGTAAAATGAATGAGAAAAAATAATAAATTTATTTTTATAGTTAATACATACCTCAGATTTAGTATCTAAAGAGGGATTATCCCTATGTAAACATAAATGAGCTACTTTAATTACATGTTCTAATTTCCTAGGCTGCTCTTCTACTTTTGCAGCTAGAAAAAGAGCAGCAGCTGCAATTGCATTTCGATGAAATGCAGCTAGGGAATGAAAAACATAAAACCTATGCATATAAACTATTGCTGTGTTAATACACAATTGTGATCTGATAATAATTTATAAGGAAAATTCAAATACACTTTTTATATATAGATAAAAACATGTTTAGAAATTGTAGGTATAGAAAACTAAATTGGTAAATTACAATTATTCGACTGTAAAGGTTACAATAACAAGAGAGATATAAATCTTGATGAAAAAGTTATATGTAATAAAGAAAAGAAAAAATATTGCTATTTTGGTAAATCAACACATCCACATTTCATTAAACAATAGTTTTCAGGATCTATAAATAAAACATTCAACCTTTTTAATATTGACACAGTTTCATATGACTCACATGAACCTGATTTGAAAAATTCACATAAAACTAGGTAACGAATAACGAAAAGAATGTCCTATATTTGTAATATAAATCAAAATGAAATTTAATAAATTAAAATTTCAAGTCCTAATTACACTTTACAGTTTAAGACCTTAAAAACATGTTTTTTTTAGGCAAGCAGTATTTACGTGCTTCGATCGAAAACAATAAATTAAACTTAAAAATGACTTTAAATGATGATAATAATTCGATTTGAAGAATATACCGTGTATTTAATTTCAAATACTCATGCAATATTTTAAGTTATTAAGGAGTTTAATAGTGAAAAGAACAAATATTTAGGTTTAAGCGACATCAAGTGAAAACAATATGGCGCCTACATTACGGGCTAATGAATAATGATCAAATTTTAAGGTGTTTATTATGATATTATTAATTAATTATAACAAATTTTAATTTACAAATGATGTGAATGAAAAAAATTTAAGCGTAAATACTATGTACAACGAACGAGTGTCATTTCTGTAAATGCGATGTAGTGTTGATGCAATTCTATCACTTTTTACACAAAAAGAACAAAAGGATACACTTGCAGTCTTTGACCCATATCTTGAATAAAATTTGCAGCTTGTTGCCTACATGATAATTCTTTATCGACATCGTATCCAGATTTTCTGCTAGGAGATTGTAAAAGTTGTTCTTTTGTAAAATACCACTTTTCATCAACAGCCATTTTTACGTGTATTACGCGTTACGAAATGGCTGAACTCATGGCGACTGTTCAAAAAATGATGACGTTTTTTAATCACGTGATACATAAATTTTTCGTCAGTCACCAGTGCAATCATATTACTCTGCTGTTAAATACCTGTGTTTACGCAACAGGAATAAAAGACCGTCTGCATGAGTTGTGTAGTAAATTATTGGGTGCCACAGTTCTTTGTATTAAAGAATTATGAGTATTAGTGCCGCATTGGCATTAGATATATCCGATATATTTGAAGAAAGTAATTGTGAAAACATGCCTGGATTAATAAGTAGTAGGTGAGTCTGCCATTTCAGTTTTTATAAGGTCAATTGTCAGCCATGTTGAACTTTTATAAATGGTTCTATTATTTTTATTGACAAATTTTTATCAAAACCATTTCCTTTTTACATTTCACTTATAAATACCCGAATACGAAATTTCTATTTTTTTATTATGCAAAAATTAATTTACATTTGTTTTACTCATTTCCATTTATTATTATTATTATTTTCCTATTTATTAAATGACGAAAGTTACATTCAATGCTGATTCTCAGCATAGGTTTATATATTATAGATATGTTTAATTACCTAATACAAAAACCTAATATTATTATAATATTAAATAAAACTTATTGATTACTCAAACAAGTATTATTAAATGAAAGGAAATATTTTTTTAAAACATTTTGCGTTTTTTTTTCTAGTCAAAAATTCAATTTTATTATTTTATGTGTTTCAAACAATAGAAATTATAACACTTTGTTATTCAACAGAAAACAATTTATCATTTCCTTAAATTTTTTTTATTAAACTCATATTTATCGATAAAAATAAGGAACAATAAATTTTTATAAAGTTTAAACGATGAAAACAATTTTATTTCACCTAAAATATTTTTATCGATTATTATTATGTGAAATTTTACTTGTAAATAAACTGAAAATTTTTTTTATTCTTTCTAGAAAATTATTCTAAATCAAAATATATATATTTAATTTTAATGTGATATTGATTTTTAATCTGTGTGTGAGTGAGTGTAAGTGAAAGACATTTTTACAATGTAATTTTTCATTTTTTTTTTCATAAACATGCCATGACATGCTACAATCGTAAATAATGATTTAAAACTTAAAATCGAAATAATTTTTGTTTCCGATTTAAAAATGATTTTAATATTTAAGCCATTTATTATTAGTTTGGTTATATAAAAAATTAACATTTTTCAATTTTTATTACCAGTCGATAATAATAATAATAATAACTATAATAAATTTTTTATTATTAGAATCTTATTCAGAGAGTGGTGATGATGATGATGATGATATAATTTTTTCTTTAATTCATTTACTCGTTTGTTTTTCTCTCTCTCTCTCTCTCTCTCTCTCTCTCTCTTTCAATGTTACAAATATGCCTATAAAATGTGTTTTTCAATTTCTTATCATGATGTTATCACAATTAGAAAAATTTTCCTATCTTGAAATTCTTTTAATTTTTTTTCTTTTTTTTTTTTTTTTTTTAATCTTTACTATATAAATTTTAATATTATTAACGATTTAAAAAAAAAAAAAAAAAAAAAGGAAGAAAATTTTTATTATTAATTAATTTATATTTTTTAAACCATGACTTTTTATTTATTTATTTATTTATTCTTTTTTTTTTTTTGGCATTGTAGTACATACAAATTTTAATTTTCCACTTCTTGGCTAATAAAATAACAAAGAAACAAATTTTTTGTCGTTGTTGTTGATTTTATATATATATAAAGCTTTTTTTAGAGTTTCATTGCCAAGCGAAGAAAAAAAAATAAATAAATAAATAAATTACATAAAAAACGCATTAAAATTTTATTATTATTATTATTATTATCATCATTGACAAACTCTTAATTGTATATATAGGAAATTATAATTTAATTCAAATTAAAAAAAGGAGTTTAGAAAAAGATATAATGTCAAACCAGTTTTTTAGGTAAAGTTTTTTTTACTATATTAAACTTGATTAAAATTCCATTTTTTTCTTTTTCTTTTTCTGTTTCTTTTTGTTGTCGTGTTTTGTTTTGTTTTTGACAAATGTAGAAGACAAGGATGTGTAAAAACAAAAAAAAATGGCGTAGAATTTAAAAATAAATGATTAAAAAGGAAAATAAATATCAAAAGAAAATTATTATTATTATTATTATTTTTAATTTTGGTTATTTACGAATCACCCTAAGTACGGGGAGGAGAGGGGAGAGAAGGGGGGGGAGGGAAGGGTGGGGAAAGAAATAAATACATAAATACTTGTTTTAACTGATAATAGAGATAATGATAATATGAAGGAGAAAAAAAATTAAATTTTTATTTGTAATTAAATATCTTTTATCATACATACATATATTTGTCATGAGTTGTTCTCTCTCTCTCTCTCTCTCTTCAATTTTTGTTTTAAACCTTGGGAAAATTTTTCTTTTTTTTTTTTTTTTTTTCTGTCATGGCTTTTGTTCTACATAAATGTTTTTCTTTTTTTTAAAAAAAAAAAATATTAATTAATTCCAGAAGGTTTTATAATCATCATCATCATCATCGTCATCATTTTTCCTTTTAATTTGCGATTAATTTTAATTTTTTTTTATCTTCTCTCTTCTTTTTCCTTCTCCCCTACCCCCTCCCCACTCGAGATGAAGGAAAATTTTATAATTATGTAAAAAGTGAAAATATTTTCTGCGTGCACGTATATTTTTGGGTGGGTGGGTGGGTGGTGGTGGTGGTGGTGGTGGGGGTCCGTATGTTTTTTACATTAAAAATTCCTTGCGTATAATAATAACCTTCGTATGTGCACACATGTTAAAAATAAATTTTTTTTTTGTATATCAAAGAATGAAAATTATTATTATTATTATTTCGTGGTAGCAGAAAAAGGTTCGAACTATTATGTACATATACTTTATTGATCATTTGTTTCGTGAATTGCGTTTAGGTACGTCGTCACGACGAGGAAAAAAAAAAAAAAGAATTTAAGTGGTTTTCGTATTTGGAAAAAACATTATTATTATGTTAACTTAAATGATAAAATATTGTAATATCGGTTGTCATTGATGATAAGTCTTATCTTTTTATTATTATTATTATTATCTGTCTCTCTCTCTCTCTCTCTCTTTAAAAACAATCGATCGATTTTATTATCATCATTAAAATGATTTTAATCTCTATGATTTTTCTCTAGCATTGAGATGATGTTATCAGGATTCTTTTCAAAATCGAATGTTTTGTCGTTTTATTAATAATAATTAATTAATAATTTTATTAATTATTTATTAATTATTAATTAATAAATAATTAATAATAAAAATGTTTAATTGCGTTCAATTTGGATGACAAGGCAGGGTCCTGAGAAGTTTTTTTTTTTTTTTTGTTTTATTGATTCCGTTTGGTTTCGAAATGATGAGGAGGAGGAGGAGGAGGAAAATTTGTCGGGAAGTTGTTGTTTGTTTTCTTCCTTCCTTCTATGCGAATCAGAGAGAAAAAGAGACAGAGTCTCTTGCAAATTTTTTTTTTTTTTAATTATTAATCGATTGTTTTTATGTTTTTTGTTTCAGTGAGACGAGTAGTAAGGAATGTCACTATTCCGTGACGTTGGGAACTGGGCCTCTGTGGTGGTCCTGACGTGGCCCACGCCGCGTACGTAGTACCGCGTTCTCACACAGGGAGCAGCGGCGTGGGGAAACATTCAGAGCTCTCTGTGAGCCCAAACAAGCAAATCGTCAGTGTGAGTAATATTGTATATATCATTGTTTTAAAAAGATGCCAGGACGACGACAGCAACAGCAACAACAACAACAACAACAACAACAACAAAAACTTTTGGAAAGGCCAAAAACAAGCAGAAGAAGAAAATCGCCATTGCACGAATGTTTCCATTTGTAAACATGAACGCCGCGATTATTTATAGAATTTAAACATTAATTTTATTTTAAATACGTTCAAATTATTTTCAATTACCCGAAGTAAAAAGTTTTTTGTTGTTTGTTGTTTGTTGTTGTTGTTTATGTTTTGCACCCTCGAAGGCTCGTAAACAAACTTTTTCTTTTTTTTTTTTTAAATTAGTTTTTAAATGTTGAATTCCCGTTTTTTCTTTTGAAAAAGATGATGAATTCGGCGATGCGGGTTTTTTATTAAAAAAAAAAAAAGAAAAATTTTCCTAAATGCCCCCCCCCATTTTTTTTTTTTTTTTTTTGTTTTCCAGGAAAAAGATATTTTACAAGCAGCCCGTGATTTTGGATCTGTTCGTTTGTCGTTCATACTCCGTTTGACGGAACAAACTCAAATTTCTTGGGAAACTGTCTTGTGGAATTCCGTTCTATACGTTCAAGTACCATCTTGCATACTGCCTGGAGGTTCGAAAGAAGGTTTCGTCGGTTTGTTGGAATATGCTGAAGAAGTTTTGCATTGCGGACACGTCGTCGTTTGCATGAAAAAAGATCGCACCGATAGAAGTTAGTAGTTGATTATTATTATTATTATTTTTATTTTCTCTTTGTCGTTTATTTGATTAACTACTTGTTCGTTTATGATTTTTTTTTTTTGGGGGGGGGGGAGAGGGGGGGGTTAATTCAACCTATTGATGATTACTCATACAATGAAAGGGTAAAAATGTATAACGGGGCTGATTTTTAATTAGCATTTTATAATTGTTTTTCAGATCTTTTGGTGAGAACTTTCATGTTCCTCGGATTCATACCACTTGCTCCAGGTCACGTTTTGATTCCATCAAACACAGATCCAGCCAATTTATTCATGCTCTATTCGATCGAGTAAATTTTTTTTCTTTTTTTATTTTAAACGAAATTACGGGCCTCCTCTCTTTCTTTCTCTTTCTCTCTCTCTCTGTCTCTATTTGTCTATCTTTCTATTATTTAAATGAAAATACAACGCTCATATTTCTCTATCTCTCTCGCACATCGAATCGTTGCTACAAAAAAAAAAAAAAATTATAATAATTCTCTTGATTTAAAATTTTTTCTCATTTTTTTCTTTCACATTTTCGAAACCAAGGAGTGAGGGGGAGGGGAGGGGAGGGGAGAGGGGGATGCGAGTGAAAAAAACAAATAACCATCATTTTGAGTTATTTAAATGTTTCCTCATGCTGTTATTTCATTTAGAAATATAAAAACATACGAAAAAAAAAAAAAAAAATTTTTTTATTGAATATTTAATAAGGAATTAAAAATAATAATAATAATTTGTGGCAGTTAAACGTTTTTTCATTTTTAATTTTAATTTTAATATTATCAATTATCCATTATTATTATTATTAATATTTAATTTTTATCATTTCTTTTTTTCATCATACGTAAAAGAGTTTTATTATCAATTATCATCAATTCTATTTAAATATTCGATTAATTTTTTTTTTTTTTTTTGCTTCACTGTGGAGATAACGATACTACTTTTATTATTATTATTATTATTTTTTTTTTCGTCTAATTATATATAAAAAAAAATATATTAAAATTTAAACTAAAAAATAATAATAATTTTAAAAATACAAAAAAAATAATTTAAAAAATTTATGAAAAATAAAAAAAAAAAATAAAAAAAACTAATAAAAAAAAACAAAAAAAAAAAAATTGAAATTGAAATTATTATTTTTATATATATATATAAATATAAAATTTTTGTTTTGACGACACTACGATAGAAATATATTTTTTTTAATAATGATGATAATAATGATAGTTTAGTTTTTTGACCTTATTATTGATTATTTTTTTCTTTTTTTAAAAAATTTTCTCATCACGTTTTATTCGATATTTTCATAACGGTCGTAAATCAATCCCATTAATATTATTATTATTAACATTAATTCATTATCATTATTATTTTTTATTAATTAATTTTGATATTTTAAACGAAAAAAAAATAAAATAAAATTAGTTTGAGGAGATTGTATTTTTGAAAAGAATTGGGAAAATTATTTTGGAATTACTAATCAAATTGAGGTTTTTTTCTTTTATGATTATTATTATTATTATTTCGATGGAAAATTCTGGAAAAAATTAAAAAAAAAAAAATATTTCGTTTACACTTTGAAGAGTCTAAATAAATTTATTTTACATAATAATAAAACTGTTGTACAATTGAAAAAAAAAATTTATAAATACATATATATTTCTATTTTGTCGTCTTGTACAAATAAATAAAATTTTATTAATAACTAGAATTAATTATTATTATTATTAATATTACATTAAATGCAGAAAATTATTATTTTATTTGTAAATTTTTCTTTTTTTTGGATGTCAACTTGAAAATATATATATATATAATAAATTCGATATATTTTGTCATCATTAATAATTAAATATTTAAAATAACTGTTAATAAATTTAATTTGCTTCGGGGTTAATTAATAAATAAATAAATAAATAAAAAGTTGAATTTGTAATTTTTCTTAATTATTATTATTACTATTATTAATAAATGAAAAATAATTGTTTGTATAGATTGTATAAATGATTATTATTATTTTTGAATTTGAAATTTTGTGAATTTTTTTAAAAAGAAGAAAAAGAAAAATATATTATTATTATTAATAGCGATCTATTTAATCTATGTTTAAAAAAAAAGAAAATAATAATAATAATATTTTTAAAGACATGCGATTTTTATTGTAGAATTTACATAAAAACATAAATTTTTATTGTAAAATGTACATAGATGATTAAAAAAAAGAAAAAAAAATTGTTTATTATTACATATAATAGGTGATTATAGAATAGAGTTGATGTCCATCTTTATTATATTATACATATATATATATATATAAATAAATATAAATAGTAAAAGCAAAATAAAAATATTCAGTATTGATAAAAATTATTGTTTATATTTTACCAAGATCCGTTTGTGTGTTATTATCGTATATCCGTGACTTTATTTTCAACATTTAAAAGTTTTATTTTATATTTTTTTGATATTTATTAGTTGAAATATAAGGCGAATATTAAAGATTTTAATTAGGTATTGTATTTTAATGAAAAATGTACGTTTTATTGTTTTTGTTTTGAATTTCGCAAAGTAAACAAAGCGTCCATTTTTGTTTTTATAAAAAAAAAACGTGGCATTAACGATTGTTTACTTCTGCGCAGTTTCCCTGGTGGCGATTTTTCAAACTAAAAAGTCTCGTTAAATCCCGCCATGTTTTGTTGTGTTGGTGCAACGATAAGAGTCAGGTTAATTGTTTTCTTTTTATTTGAATTTTTTTTTTTTTTTTTAAGATTAAAATTTTTTAATAAGTTATAATATGACAATTATAAATAATTAAACGTTTTAAAATATAAATTAATTGTGATTTTATATAACGACATTTAAATACAATTTATTGTTTCATTCAAAAAAAAAAAAAAAAAATTTTATTTGAGAAAAATTTATTAATTGCAGTTTTTAATTTTTTTTTTTTTTATTATTTAATTTTTATTACATGACTTTAAATTTTTTATTTATTTATTTAAATAATAGTTAAAATGGAGAATGCAATAAAAACAGAAGCGGTTAAAGGAAACGATACATCTAAAACAACTCGTCCTCCTATTTTAAATTTATTTCAATCATCTTCTCAGTGTTCATATTTTCCATTTTATTGGTAAGTTTTATTTTTTTATTTTTTACTTTATTAATTTAAAAAAAAAAAAAAAAAAAAAAATGGTTTACTACATTATCTAATGCTTTAATGTGCAATTTACAATAATTATAAAACATTCAATTATTTTAATAATCAAATTTAATTATTTATTCCATGCATGTCATGGATGTATTATTAAACATAATTGTTCACAATCATTCGAATTTATTGCATTGCATGTTAAAGTAAAAAAAAAGATGTATTAAATTGCATTAATTTTTAAATTACGTTAATTCTTAATTTTAAAATTAAATTTTTATTATTTTTAATTTAAATTAATTTAATTAAATATAATTCACCCAAATTATCTTTTTAATCGTTAAGTTTTTTTATTGGCTTTAATATAAATGATGATAGTTTCGAATGTTTCTCATGAACGACCGAGTTTTATATATATTCACATAAAAATACAATTTGAAAACAAATTTTTGTTTAAAATGTAATTAAGCACACTCATTTATTAATTTATTAATAAAAAATTATTTAAAATTAATAATCTGACACAAATAACAATGTTTCTAGTTGTGATGTGAATTTTTTCGACAAACAAAAAAATAAAATGAAAGACAATCGAAATGAATTTTAATTAATTAATTCGAATGTTTAAAAAAAATTTATAAATGTTTTAAAATTTATTTTTTATTCTTTTTGGCACACCAAATTGTGAAAAAACATTTAATTAATTTTATCAAGGTGATAAACATTTTTTTTTAAATTAAATTTTTTTTTTTAAAACAATTTTTCACTATAAAATTAAATCATGTGTGTGTGTGTGTGAATATTTTTTATTTTTTTTAATTTTTTTTTAATGAAAAAATTTATCGAAAAATAAAAAAATAAATAAATAAAATAAATATAATAAAATAAGTATAAAATAAAATAAAATGAGAAAAGGAAAAGGAAAACAAAAAAAATCTGTCATATTAAAATAAAATTTTTTATAACTTTGACCTGAACGCATTCATTTTATTTTATTTTATTTTTTTTTTTTTTTGTTACAAAAAACACAAAATAAATTTATTATTATTATTATTATTATGAGAGAAGCGTTTTCACATTAAAAAAAAACCCCTTTGGCAATGCTTTGATATTAAAAAAAAAAAAAAACGTTAAAATATTCAATATGATCCACGTTATGAAAAAAATTTCATTTCTCATTTTTATCATAATTTAAATGTTGAATAAATTTATAATAAAAAAAAACAATAAAAGTTTTATTATAATAATTACGGATTCGATTTAATTAAAAGACTCGTGATGATAATAATAATTTCGTGTTAAGAAAAAGTTAGGGAAAGAAACAAACACACACACACATACACCCTATCTAAAACAAAATTAAATTACACACACACATGATGACGTAATAATTTCATCTTATTAAATGATTAAGTGATAATAAAAGAAAGTTTTTTCATCATTCCAGACGTAATAAATAAATTATTATTATTATTATTATTATTATTATTATTATTATTATTATTATTATTATTATTATTATTATTATTATTATTGGTAAAATAATCATTTATCGAAAGTAATAATTTTTTCTTTCTGTTCGATTATGGAACGTTTTGTAATAAAACGATTGTTTTATAATTTATCAAACGAGTTAGGAGACATTTTAATTTAATTTTTCTATTATTATTATTATTTTTTCCAATCGATTTCTTTAAATTATTAAATTTATATATATCATCGTCACCGATTACGATCGATTATTCTACCCCCCGGGGGGCGGAAGGGTGGGAGGGGGGTAGGTGTTCGATCACAAATCGATGAAAAACTATTTGATTAAAATAAGAAGAGAAAAAAAATTCTCCTTCTCTCTCTCTCTCTCTCTATCTCTCTGTCTTTCATTTTTTTTTCGTTTCGTTTGATTAAAAATGTTTCGATTATTGAAATTTTATTTAAAAAGAAGACAAAAATAAATAATAATAATAATAATAATAATAATAATAATAATAATTTCTTGTTTTTTTTTTATTACAGCGAAGAAAACGTTTGGAAATTATGTGAAGACGTTAGTCAAAAGCATCCAACGGAATTAAATAAATGCAGCGTCGTTTTTGTGAGCAACGAAAGGAGGACGGTGTTATTATGGCGTCAAAGAGCCGGAAGAGATGAAGATAAAATGGTCATTTGGGTAAGTTTATTTATTGCTTTACTACCATTACTACTAACAACACCACCACCACCACCACTACCCCCCGAAAGGATTTCTTATTTCATTATGTATTTGCACAAACACGCGGAGTCTGCCTGTTTTAAGTCGTTTAAAAAAAAAAAAAGAAACGAAATCAAACATTTTAACTTGAATAATAATAAGAAGAAGGTGATGAAGATGATGACAGTGACGGTGGCGATGACGATAACGTGGATGCGATGATATTCACAGCACTCCTGATCCTGGTCATTCCAGAGATGTTGATGTCACGCCGGAGATCAGATCAGGAATAAGACGAACTCAGACAGGATAAAGGCTTGCGACAAGAATTTTTGTGACGTCATAGGTTATGACAAGACGAAACCTATTCGAGCACCACTGATATTCCTTAGGGATGGGGGGGTAGAAACCTGGAATAATAATTATTTGGAAAAAAAACTCGGACAAAACACAAGACGAATCATGTCATAAATAAAAAGTTAAAATATTAATAATAATTACAAAGGTTGAATTCGAACCTTTTTAAAGGGGGAAGGTGAGACGTTTCATACGTAAGGTTTGATAACAATTTTCCGGTTATCTCATCCGAAAAAAAATTTTTTTTGTTGCATCGGTGTTTGGTTGGTCGGTTTGAGCATCTGGTTGTGCCGGGTAGCGCAGTTTTGTTGTTTTCGTAATAATTTATTGTTTTTGTTATTGTTTGTTTGTTGTTGTTGTTGTTGTTGTTATGCAGCAAATTTAAAAAAAAGTAAAAGTAATAAATAACTTCTTTTGCGGTCGAATTTCGGATTATTGTTTTACGTTCCGGTTCTTTATTATTTATTTTTTTACTTTTGGGAAAAGGAACGCATGGGAAACGCTTTCGTTTTTCCTTCCCTCGATTTCCCCTCCCCCTCTCTCTGTCTCTCTCGCTCCCTCCCTTCCCTCCCACTTCTCGCGTTATTTATTTAATAATAATAATAACAATAATAATAATAATAATAATAATAATAATAATAATTTGAAATTATAATCCGATTTGTAAACGGGTCGGAGAAAAATGATTGAACACCGAAGGGATTTCGAATTTTTATAACAATTTATTTTAAATCGTTTGAAAAAGGAAAGAGACGTAAAGAAATGAAAAAAGAGAGAGAGAGAGAGAGAGAAAATGTTCATATAAAAATTTCGGAAAAGCGTAATAAGGAGAAAATTTAATTTTTATACTCTCGCGACTGTTATTTTACGGTTGAGACAGCGTTTTCGCGGATTTTGTAAAAATTTCGTATTAAAAAAAAGAGAGAGAGAGAGAGAGAGAAGGGGGAAGGGAAAAGGACGAAGGGTTATGAGTTACATCCAAGTAAATTTTCTCTCTCTCTCTCTCTTTTTTTGTGTTGTAATACGTAGTTGAAAATATCAAAGGTTTATTCGTAGTCGATAGGTAAAAGGTGAACCTCCCTTTTTTTATTTCCTTGAACTTTTTCCAGTTGCCTTTTTTTTTTTTTTTTTTCTTTTAACGATAAAATTATTACGTTATAAGGTGTGTGTGTGTGTGTGTGTGTATGTAAAAAAAAAATTTTCCTTTTTCTATTTTGGAATCTTCAACGTTTATTTTCTCTATGGTTTTTTTCCGAGTTTAATTTATTTTTTCCGCGTTATACGAAATTGTTTTTCGATTGTTTGGCATAATTTTTTTTTTTTTTGTTTTTTATTTACTCGAACGGAAAACGTTTAAACCTTAACGTTGGACGATTTTCCTTTTTTTTTTTCTTGCCTTTTTCTAATAAATTTTCTTCGAATAACTTTAACTTGGGTTATTTATTTCGGAAAAGTTTTACGCATGCGTGAATGCGATGGAGAAAAGGTTTAAGGCGTTAAAATCAACAGATTTTATTTATGTTTTCGAAAAACTTTTTAGAAAGTATAATAATAATAAAATTTCATGTCGAAAGGTACACACACAAATTGTAAGGGTCACTCCAAAAAAAAAACAAGGGGGGGGTTAATAATAATAATGATTTTTTGAGTCACGCTAGTGAGTATATACAAGGTAATGCAATTTTGATATTAAAAAAGATTAAAAAAAAAAAAAAAGAAAATTTTCCATTCGAGTTTTCGTGTACGTGTAACTAACATGTTTTTTTTGTTGTTGTTGTTGTTGTTTGAGTTTTTAATGTGTCGCCTTAACTGTACGTGTTTCGTCGTTCTTTTTTCCTTTTTTTTCCTTTTTTCCTTTTTCTACTTCTTCATGTGAAAGAAATTTCGAAAAGATTAATGGAAGAGACGAAATTTTTCTTATTGGAAAATTTGATTTTTTTTTTTTTTGCTGGAATTTTCTCGTTTAAAATTTGTTTGTTTGTTTGTTTGTAGAAAAACAACAACAACGACAAAACTGGAATTCGTTAAATGTCCTACTTTAATAAAAAAAAATAAATTTTTTTATTTTTATTAATTAATTAAAATTGGGTCCCTTTAATGCCCGAATTTTTTTTTTTTTTTGGCTCGATTTAATAAATTTCGAATGAAATGAAATGAATCGTGAAAAAAAAAAAAAAGTTGATTTACTATAAAATCATTTTCCGATTTTTTTTTTCAGTTTCCCCTCTCCCCCCTCTCTATCTCTGTCTCTCTCTTGTGCCCGAGTTAAATAATAAAAAAAGAGGATAAATTTTTTTTTTTTTTTTTTTTTTTTTTCGGGAGTAACCTCGTTGGAACATACGAACAGGTGATGTCCTTCTGCTGTAATAATTTCTCTCTCTGTCTGTCTCTCTCTCTTTCTCTCTTTCTCTCTCTCTCTTTTTTTTTTTCATTTTTTATTGTTAGCATTCCCGTCACGAGAAATTATTTATTACGTAAAAAAAAAAAAAAATTCTGCAATAAATAAAAAGCAATAACTCTTGATACAGCAAAAAAAAAAAAAAATAAAAATAAAATAAAATAAAAAATTAAAATCTGAAGTTTTTTGTTTTTTTTTTTTTTTTTTTTTTAGGGGGGGTTGGGTTGGGTTGGGGGGTTTAAACTGACGTTTTGTTGGCATAATCGTAAGATAAGTTGCACGCGGGAAAAAAAAAAACTTTTTTTTTTTTTTTTGTAAATTTAAACACGCAGATTTTTATTTTTATTTTATTTTTTGTGTGCGTGTACGTGTACGTGTGCGTGTGTTTGCACGTGTTTGTACGCGTTTGAGTGTGTTTGTGGGATTAGGTTTTGTTATTTTAAATTGTTAATTTTTAGGGGGTCCCTTTGAACCTTTGAATCGAAGTTAATTTTTTTTTCCGGGATACGAAATTTAAAAAAAAAAATAGACGGAAAAGAGTGGAGTGGGGTGGAATCGGGGGGGGGGGGGGGAATTAGGAAAATTTTGTGGGTGACGGCATTTTAAATAATTTCGGGTCAAGGGAGAGAGACTCCAGTGCTAGGCACGGTTTTTTCGTGCGATTATTTATTTATTTATTTTAATTATTAATAATAATTGTTTGTTGGTTGTATTATTATTTTTATATTGTTTCTCTCCCCCCCTTTTTTTTAAATTTATTTCGTGGGGGGACTGGGAAAAAATCAATTATCGGATGGGTAAAAAATCGTTTTTTTGTATTTTTTAACAAAGATTCGGTAACGATTACTTGTTTTTTTTTTGGGGGGGGGGAGTCGTGTAATCGAAGGTCGTTTTACTTCGTCAAAAAGGGAGAAAAAATACTTATGTAAATAAAAATAATAATAATGATATAATTTATATAACTGGAAGAGCGTAACAATAAAAAAAAAAAAAGTTGGGGGGGAAAGGAAAATTATATAAATTTTCTTTCGAGTTTCCTTTCACTTTTTAGAATTTGATTTTTTCCCAAAGGAGGGGGAGGGGAGGTGTGGAGGGAAACAAAACAAAAAACTAATAAATTTAAACATTAAAATTAAATAAAATAAAACATAAAAAAAAAACCGGGAAAATTTCGAGGGGGGGGGGAAATCTCCGCATGCGATCCAATTCGATTCTTATTTAATTTTGATTTATAAACCCGAGCGTATGAGAAAAATGTTTCGTGATTCGAAAACATTACAAAGCAACAAGTTATAATTTTTTTTATAATAATTTACAAAGAAAAAAAATTTGACTCGAATAAAATGTGCACGCCTTTTAAAAACCTTTTGAAAGTGCGTTAGTGTACGTGTGAGAGAGAGAAAGAGAGAGAGAGAGAGAGAATTTTTCTTTTCGAAAACGAATGGTTTTTAATAAAGAAAATTATTGTTAAAGTTATTGCGTTTTGATTTGATGGAAGGAGAAAATGAAAAAATTGAAATGTGTTGGAAATGAAAGGGAGAAAAAGGAGAAAAAAAAAAAAGTAACGAACAATGAATGAGTGACTGAGTGACTGAATGAATGAATGAATTTTTAAAGAAATGAAAAACTAAAAAGAAAATCCTGTCAGATGAGTGAATGAATGGTTAAAAGATAACTTTTAAGAAACTTTATAAAAGTTTTGCATTCGGAGTTTTTCTGCTTCTTTTGTGCGTGTAACATGATAATTATATGAGAAGAAAAGAAGAGGAAGAATATGTTGGGGAGTTAATAGTCACCGTGGAAAATTGGGGAGGATTTGATGGGTTAATTGTGATTTTGGGAAAAAAAAAGAGAGAGAGAGAGAGAGAGAAAGAGAGGTTGGTGCTTGATTATGTTGTACAAAGGTTTAGGATTAGAAAGAAGAATTTTTTTGGAAAATCATTCGCTGGAGTTTTTCTCATTTATCGTTATTTCGTTTTAAAAATCATTCGAAACTGGAATTTAAAAATAATAATAATAATAATAAGGATAATAAGGATAATGAAAATTCAATTGTTTTTTTTTTTTTTTTTTTTTTTTTTTAAAGAAAAGAATTCGGATAAGGAAAAAGGATAAAATGCAATAAAAAAACAATTTTTTTCTTTTTTTTTTTTTTTGCATTTTCCAATTTTCCTTTTTCCTTTTCTTTTCTTTTTTTTCGGGGGGAGGAGGGGAAGGTTTTATTTTATTTTCATTGACTTGGCATTTTCCGGATGACGGCTTGCAACTTGAATTTTTTGTTTTGTCTTTAAACAAAAAAAAAAACCTAAACAAAACCAAACAAAAAAAAATGAGAATCCTGGAAAATTTGAGCAAAGGTGAGATACGCAGGGTGTGTGAGTTTCATCATTATTTTTAAGTTTGCATTGATTTTTTCATCTTGTTCGAATTTTTTCCTCTTTTTTTTGTTTACTGCTGCCACGTTTCGAAAAAAAAAAAAATTTCATTCGACCGAGATTTAGTTTGTTGGTTTTTATATTGTATGAAAAAAGAAAGGAAGGGATTCTTTTTGAGAATGGTTTTTTTTTTTTCTATCCACACGTTTTTGGTTTTGTAATTTTCTTTTTATGGTATAAGGAGGGAGGAAGGGAGGGAGGGAGGGTAGAATTTTAAAAATTTAATTTTTAGAGTCGAACAGAGATCGTACGGTAAAAAAAAAATAATAATAATAATAAAAATATATCAAATCCGAAAGGAGGTTCGAGAAATTCACGAAATATTAGATTTCAGAGGAGGAAACGTGGCAGGGCAATTGCGGAAAATATAAATTATTTTTAATAATAAATAAATGAAATGTGAAAGGGAAGGGCGGGGGGAGGAAGAAAAAAAATTATTATTTTTACACTGGACGGAAATGGCGGATTGGATGAAAGGTGGGGGGGGGGCTAGTGTTTAGTGTAGAACATATAAAAAAATTTTTTTTTACAAAAGAGCCATTTATTCGGGAGTAAAAGATTTATCGAAGTAGAAGTAGCAGGAAGTCTGGAAATTTTCCTTTTTTTTATTGAGATATATACGGCCGCAAAAATATGGTATGCGTGCGTGCGTGCGGGTGAACGCACCCCCCACCTCCCTCCCACAGATTAAAAGACGAGAGAAAATAAGAAGAAGAAAAAGGAAAGATTTTTTTTAAAAAAATTTTTGCTAACGTTCAACGACCGTTCTGAACGGTCAAAATTCTTTTCTTTCCTTTTTTACGGGGGGGGGGTGGGGGTTTCAACAAATTCTGTGGTGGGTAGCAAAAGCAGAAATGGCAGCAGCATCAGCAGCATGTTTATGATTTCCAACTGTTTTTTAACGTATTGTTAGCCAAAAAAAATTTGAGTGTTTGGTGACCCGCCAAAATTATCATTTCGTCCAATGAAAATTATTTATACGTTCGTCCGTAATTTTTTTTTTTTTTTAAATTTTAAAATGGTGGAAAAGGAAAATAAAGGAAAGGAGATAGGACCGGTTTAAGGATATGACCTTTTGTTCGTTTCGACGGTGCTTTATTTTCTCTCTATGCAGTCGAACGAAGTAAATCCTTCGTAATTTATTCTTTGATCCATGAGTAATTAACGAGAACGACAGGAACATGATTATTAACATTATCAATATTAATAATGATGATGATTATAATAATAATAGTTTGTTTTTGTTTTTTAGGATTACCACGTGTTGTTTCTCTACCATCCGGACGATCGATGTTTAGTTTACGATTTGGATTCCGAATTACCTTTTCCAACGTATTTTCACAAATACGTCACGGAAACGTTTAGAACGGATCAAATATTAAAACCAGAATTTTTTAGGTAAATAAATTGTTTGTTTTTGTAAAAAAGTGTGCAGGGATGTGAAGAGAGAGAGGGGAGGGAACAGGAGGAGCAGAAAGGAGGGGGGCGTATGAAAAAAAAAAACGAGAGTAAATTACGGTTTTGAAATTGCGGGGGGCGGGGATACACGCGCGCCTGAAATTTTTTTTTTTAATTTTTGTCTCTTTTTGATTTTTCAGGTATTTTCGAGTCGTGCCTGCTCCGGTGTATTTAAAAAATTTGGCGACGGATCGACGACACATGAAAAGATCTGATGGAAGTTGGATAAAACCACCGCCGGATTACAATTGCATAAAAACACCGAGTAAGTAATAAAAAAATTAATTAAATTAATAAAATCGATCGATGGGAAAACTCTCCGGAAGCAGAAGACTTTTCTTTTACTTCCTTGCACGTGTGTGTGGGGGAGAAGGGGAGGTGTACGTGCGCCCTGTGAAAAATCGTCAATCTTATCAGAGTGATTAAGAAAGAAAAAGTACTTTTTGTTATCTATGGCATTCGAATGATTTTTCTCTCCGGGAGAGATTATTATTATTATTTTTCGTTCCAGTTAAAAAAGAGGGTATTTTGAATATAAATATTTTTTTTTTTTTTTGCTAACTTCTGGAAAAATCTTCGAAAGGAGAGAGGGAGGGAGGGGGGTAAAACTTTCGTTTAAATTTAAGTTTAAGGTATTGATCCACGCCAAATTTCCTGTTAAAAATGAGGGAAAAATCAGTTTGTTCGATTTGACATATTGACGGATGAATGATTTTCTTACGTAAACTGGTTCGGTTTGTTTTTTTGGGAGGTGGGGAGAAGGGAAGGAAGGATGGGGGGAATTCGTCGCGAATGGAAATTTTCAGGGAAAAGGGAGAATTTAAAGTTAAGCCCAGGCAGGCATCGTGATACGTTTTTTCTTTTGAAATATGTTTTCCTTCTCGTTGATATGAGAGAGAGAGAGAGAGGTTGTCGATTAAGAAAATGTTATTCAACCGTTTGAAAATTCTTGTTTTAAAAAAAAAAAAAAAAAAAAAAAGAGGAAAAGCATAAGAAGCAGAAGAAAAAAATTGTTAAAGTTTTTCCGTTAAAGGCTCTTTTGAACTCTTTCGCATATGTATAAATAAATAAATAAATAAATATCTTTATTCGTCTTTTTATTGGCTTACCAAATCGATTTCGTGGAATCTTCATAAAAGTTTTATGTTTTTTTTCCTTCTCTCTCTCTCTCTCTCTCTCTCTCTTTCTCTCTTTCTCTTTCTCTTTTTCCCTCCCTCTTCCTCCTCCCCTTTATCTCTTTTTCGCAACGTGTTTTTCCAGTTCGTTTACAGTCGGGTTACAGTACATTTTTACTTTTTTTTTTTCTCTAAAGTCAGAAGGGAAAAACGTTTAAAGATTGAAAAAACAAATTGGAAAAAAAGAAAAAAGAAAAAGAATTTTCCAGAAGGAAAAGCGACTGTGATAAATTTGATTCTTGTTTTTTTTTTTTTTTTCCTGGAAAAAGTTTTTTTTTTAAATTTTGGAATGATTTTGCATAATAAGTTTCAATCTTTTTCAAAGAAAAACCACATGGAAGCGTCTGCTAGGCGCCGAATGAGTTTCGCAATCCTTTATTTTTCACATTTTCTTTAATTAAAAGAAAGAGAGAGAGAGAGAATTAATTAAAATGATAAATAATAACAATAATAATAATAACAATGTATATATTAAATGAAAAAATAATTTTAGCGACGTATAAACTCTTTATTCTATTTTTTGATTTTCATTACGTAATGATTTTCTTTTCCCCTTGCTTCTCCCTCCCCTCCCCTCCCCTCCCGAATCAAATTTACCGTTTCGAATGGGTTTGAACGTGGACGAAGAAAGGAAAAAGGATAGAAAGAAACAAAAAATGTTTTGAAATTTAATCTTTGAGAATTTGAGTTTTTTCACCTCCGTCGTTTTTTTTTTTTTGTTGTTTGAAGAGTAACCGGGGAGAGAGAGAAAGAGAGAGAGAGGAGGAGCCCTTTTGTTGTAAATTTTGTTACCCCCCTCCCCCGAGGGTTTGTTTCTTTCCTTTTTACGTCCATTTTGTTTGCTTTTCATTTCCCCCCCCCTCTTGTTATATATTTTATCACAAAAAAAGATTTAACTTTTTTTCTTTTCTTTCTTTCTTTCTTTCTCTCTTTTCGTATTTAAATTCATGTTTTTATTATTATTATTATTATTATTATTATTATTATTATTATTATTATTATTATTATTTGTTTCTGTTGTTGTTTTACCGGAAGGTTAAATTTTGTTTTCGGGATTTTTTTTTTGTTAAGGTTTCCGGGAAAAGGATCAACGCTAAATGAAATCACTTTTTTGGAAGAAAAAAAAGCCAAACGAATTTTGAGAGGGGAAGGAGGGGGAGTTATGGTAACCTTTTTTTTTCGTTTATTTCAGGTTCATCTCACAATTTAGACGATTTCATTAGCATGAAAGTTTCCGAAGGTTATGGGGAAGTTTTAAATTTAACGGAATTAGTAAAAAAATTTTACAAGCAGTAAAAGAAAATTTATAAATAAAAGATTTTGGATGGAGTCGACGATTTTGCTGACGGATGCTGCGAAAAAGGTTAGAATGAGAAAGAGAGAGAGAAAGAAATAGACGTCATCATCATCATTATCACGAACGTCAACGTGAAAAAATTTTAGAAAAATTCAAAGGAAATGCGGGGACGGTCGAACTGGACAAAAAAATAAAAAAATAAAAAAAGTGAAAATGGATTTTTACGAAAGTACAAAAAAAAAAAAAAAAATGTCGGAGACGTTTTGAATAAATAACAAATTCAATGGAAAGGAAAGTTTGTAACGTCATCGCCTAAATGAATTTCTCGTGTTTCTAGCAGACGACAACCGAAAAATAAATAAATAAATAAACAAATGAATTTAAATTTTTTTTTCTTTTTTTTTTGTATATAATAATCATTTTTAATGATTGTTGTTTTTGTTGTTATTATTATTATTATTAAAGGTTGCATATTTAAAAATAATAATAATAACAATAATAATAATAATAATGGTTTTATTAGTAAAGTTTTATTATTATTATTAAAAAAAAAAAATTGTCGTTTGATGAAGAAAACAAAAATAAGAAGAAAAAAAAAAAGGTGGCAATCGGTTCACATTTTTTTTTCGTAATTATTTCCGGTTTTTCTTTTTTTTCTTTTCAACAAACCGGAAATAGAAAAAAATTTTTTTACGATTTGATACGATTCGATGTTTTTCCTTAAGAAAATATTAATTTACAAAAAAAAAGAAAATTGTTTGGAAATTTTATTGTGATTTTTTATTTTTTAAATTTAAATTTAAATTTAATTCTAATTCTTTAAAGTTTTTGTTGGTTTTTTTTTATTCGTTTGTTCGTTTGCTTGTTTGTTGTTATTGTTGTTGTTATTGTTTTTGTTTTTTTTTTTGTTATTATTTACGAATGGAAGCGCGCGATTTTTTATTTTCTTTTTTTTGTATGTGATAAATTTTATCGTTTCGTTTTAGGTAATTATTAATATTATTATTATTATTATTATTATTATTATTATTATTATTATTATTATTATTATTATTATTATTATTAATTCCTTTTTTTGTTATTTGTCTTTCCGAGTGACAGTGAATTTATAATTTTTTTTTTTCGATTTCGATTCTTGAAAAAATAAAAATTTTTTTTTAAAAACGAATGTTTATAAAAAATAGAGAGGGAGGGAGGGAGGGGAAGAAAATTTGTTTTGTAAATTTTTGTAAACCGTTTATTTATTATTATTATTATTATTACTATTATTTAATAATCCGAAGGGAAATTTGTCGCCAAATCGACGTAACAATAAAACTTTTTTTTATTGACTTATTTTTTTTTTTTTTTTTGTTTTGTTAAAAAGGTAAAAAAAAATTGTTTTCATCATCATCATCATCATCATTATTATTATTATTATTATTATTATTATTATTATTATTATTGCTTTTCATTTTTTATTTACGACGCATTTCGTCTTGTATTTTGTTCGATTTTTTTTTTTTTTTTTTTTTTCAAAACATTTATTTTCCAGGTTTCTACTCCCAGGTCGACAATTCCTAAGGAATATCAGTGATGCTCCAATAGGTTTTCTTTTTGTTGTGACCTTCTGTGACGTCACAACAATTCTTATCGTAAGTCTTATTGAGGACATCTTATTCGATTGAACTTATTATTATTATTATTATTAAAAGAGTTTTTTTTTTCTTAAATGTCGAGAGTCGACAAATGTGTCGTAACCTGTTAATTTTTTTTTGTTAATTTTTCTAACTTGCGTTGACTTGTGTTGTTGAAATTTATTTTATTTCAAACATTTTTTTTTTCGATCGATAATCATCATTATTTTCACGTGACAACGTCATAATTTAATTGGTAAGAGTATTTTTTTTTTTTTAATAATTTTTTTCGAATAATAATAATAATAATAATAGTAATAATAATATTAATATTTTTAACAAAAAAATTATTTAAAAAAAAAAAAAAATTGTGATTGAAATTGTTTTTTTTATTTATAATAACTTATTAAATTTATTTATTTATTTATTATTAACTTTTTACAATCGTACAAATGAATTTTATTATTATTATTATCATTTTTTTGTTGAAACAAAATGAAAATAAATAATTTTAAAAAAAAGTTAATAATATTATGCACATTTAAAGAAAATTAATTTATAATTATCATCATTATTAATCGCTTTTATTTTCATACCCGATGATATTATTATCATTATTAATTAAACAAAAAAATAATAATAATAATAATTATTATATATACACACACTGTTACAGGTAAAAATAAATAATAATAATAATAATAATAATACGTTTTTTATTATGATTAATGTAAAGTGAAAACTTTTTCGGCGAATAAAAGTTGTTTAATAATGATGATTGAATATTATATTGATAATATGTTTATTTAATAGTTTTGATAACGTTATCACACACGCACACGCGCACACACACTCGAAAGCGTAACGATAAATTAAAATTTTTTTTTTTCATTAATTAATTTTCATGAAATTTCAATTTTCTCCAATGCGCAAAACCGTAAAATAAAGTTTCTTTCATCATTATTATCATCATCATTATTATTATTATTATTTATTAATTATTTATATAAAAAAATAAATAAAAGAAAACTTTTTATTATTATTAAATAATTTGTTTTTTACATATATTTATATATTCCGATTTCAATTTATAAAAAAAAATTGTTTATAATTTATTAATAATAATAATAGTAATAATGATAATTTTTTTGTAATAAATAACGACATTTATTTATTTATTTATTTAATAATAATATATTTATATAATACAAAATGATAATTTACAAAAAAAAAATGGATTAATAAACAATTTCGTTCGTTAACGATCGTGGGAAAAATCAATAAATCGATAAATAAATAATTGCAGTAGATGAAAAGTTTACAAAAAAAAAAATTATTATTATTATTATTTTTTTTTTTTTTTGTATAATTTAAGTTTAAAATCACATTTATAATCATTATTATTATTTTTGATTTGTTTTCCGTTTGAATTCGAAAACGGATCGTTATTATCATTATTGTTTTATATAATGATCGATCGATCGATGACGTTTCGAATACGACCGTTAAAATCATTCAAATCAACCGGAAGTGACGAAATGATTTTCTCATCGGAAATAAGGCAGTCTGGGTTGAGAATTGAGAGCGTAAGTGTTCATTGGTATCGTGTTTTGTTTGGTGTATGCATCCGACCTGTCGTAATCCACGTCGTAATAAATTCCACTTTGATTCTGGAAAAAAAGAAAAAAAGATTGATTTGAATTCGTACGCCATTCTGCGTCCACGTCATTTTATGACAAAAAAAAAAAAAGAAAAATTTTCAAAGGTTGAAAGTGTTTGAATGTAATGACGATAAGAATCTTGATGAATTCAAAGGTCACGAGGTCAGTCAAACCGCGGTGTAAAAATTTTTTTTTTTTTTTTTGAAAAAGGAATGCGCGCGCTTGGAATTTCGTCGATGATGATGATGATGATGATGATAATACGTACGGCTATCGACGTCCTACTTTTAGGTCTTGGAGCGTTAAAATTTCTTCCCAAAAGATCAGCACGATCTTCTTCTTCGCTGGAACTCGTTGTTTCCAAAGATGATCTCATGCCGTGATTGGTTTGATGAACGGTTCCTATCTGACTGTGAGCTGGTATAATTGAAGAAAAAAAGTTGTGTTAGCTGTTGTTGGAAAGGTTATCGATGATGGCGGAAAGAGGGGAAAACTTGTTACCTCCGTACGTTCCCATGACTGGTTTATTAGTTAATGTCAATCTTGGCAAAGGTACGGGTGGTGCTATTGCTGGCAAAGGCAAGGTTCCGGCATGTGATATGCTCATCGTGTGTGATGGTAACGTTGGATAACCGCCAAAGGTTGGCCTCGTCGTCGTCGTTTTATTTACAGGATCCGGCTGCTGCGTTGAAAAAAAAAAAAAAAAATCAAATTTGTGCATTTAAAAACGCGACATCTTTTAGGTGACATCTTCGGGAACTTTGATGAAAATTTACTTACCGCGTAATGATTGGATTTTGCCATCACGTCAGCTATTTGAGCCCACCTAATACGATCTTCGATGGTGACTTGATAGGGGGGTGCACCCACCGATGGAGTCTTCACTGCTGGACCCGTGGCCATATAACCGAATACCGGACTTCCCATTCCGGCACCGATAGCGGATTTTTGTTCTCTCGACCACCTTCGACTGCGTTATTGATAGAAAAATTAATAAAAATTTCTTTTTCATCACGTATTATATACGAATTTAAAATTTGAATCTTACCTCCACATGCACAAGCAAACGAGTGTTAGTATGATTATGATAGCAGCTGCGACGGAAGCACCGATGGCAACTCCTAATACTTCACCATCTATTTCACATTGAGAACCGTAAAAACTACCGGAACAACTAAAACAAGACAAAAATTCGTAAAAGGTGTACGAGATTAAGAGAACAACAACAACCACAACAACAGTACACTCACTAGCAAACTTGTTGTCCGTGTTCGAATTTACATTCTCCTCTGCTATTGCAATAATCGGAAGGACACATTTCGCAAAATCTACCTTCCCGATGAACGTTACCGATCCAAGGATCTCTCAAACCGTTCGGACATTGACACTTAAAGCTACCGAATACGTTTAAACACGTTGCACGTTCGTGGCAATCGTGCAATTCTGCCGAACTGCATTCGTCGACATCTTTAAAACAATAAAAAGAAAAAATTCTTATCCAAACTCATTGGCGAAGAATTTTGCAGTGCTTAAAATATGTTACCTTGTAAAGCCAATATGCTACCGGGTGGTGCATCGACCCAAACCGCACTATTACCAACATTATTGTTCCTCCTCTGTATGACTCTTAAAAGATGTCTTTGTATGTCTTGTTTTACGGCCGGTCTCACCGTATCTAAATTTTCTTCCAATTGTATCGTTAAATTAACGTAAACGGCGGGTTGATTCGTTTCAAAATTTTTTGCCGTGTAAATAGAATTGATCCGTGAATTTATGTAATCGTCGCTAAACGGTGTCATCGACATGGCGGATTCGATCTGGGAAAACGAAAAAAAATTTCGGTTTTTTACCGTTAAAAAAAGCGGATTTGGGGATTTCGGGAAAGTCCCGATGACTTACTGCTTGACTAGCTTCGTATGACAATTCCTGATAATCCTCCGAATCGGGATCTTTTAAATTGTCTTGCCATTTTATTTTCTTATCGTAAATCCTGTCGATACGTATGGATGTCAACATTGAAACGACACCTGAAAGTATTATTATTATTATTAATAAATATGTCGGTCGTTATTACGATTCGAAACGTTAAAAAAACGGTTGTTGTTAAAAAAAACTTACGCCTACAAGAATCTCTATGTTTTTTTCTGTTGTATCCAGGTCTGCAGTGACACGATGACACGCCATCCTCCGTCCTACACATTTCGTTTTGTGAAGAATCGCACGTGGAAGCATCGCCGACAATGCAAGTATCTATTCTTACAGGTGGATGACTCGGTCTCTTATACTGTCTACGCGGAGGAGATGTAGCCGGTCTGGTACCAGAGGGCGACTGATGTAACGAATGTTCGTTATGTGGAATAGCGTACCTGCAAGGTAAGTAAGAAATTTTTATTTATTTTCGTCGTTGTTTCCGGTGAAATTTCTAGAAAACAAAACGGGATAAACAATTACCCAGTTCCGATGATCGAGATTTGTGACGTCGACGTCGGCGTCGGCGTCGGATTTATTTTACTAGTCGGTGATGCTTCACCGAATAAATTTATATAAGTACGTTTTCCATCGATTGAAACAAAATTTTGTCCTTCTTCCGGTTTCGTTATGACGGAAACGTCACCTTGAAAAACTTGCGAATTTTGTAGTTGGATTCCATCGACGTTGACTGGAATTCCATGAAAAGTTTTTTTTTTTTTTATTAAAATCATTTCGTGACAAAAAAGAAAAAAAAAGAGGAAAATTTTGTTTGTCGCGCGTGTTTTTCTCACCTGGTACGATGTAAGGTTTTCCAGGTTTGGACGATTCATCTCCCGGTCCTTGTATTGCGTGAACGGTGACGTCAAAAATTTCACCGTAGTAGCTGTTAGGTGGTGGAGCCGTAACGATGGGTCTCGTATTAATCAAAGGTCTTTTCTTGTGCGCACCCGGTTTGTATTCCGGGTCATCCAAAACGATACCCGGACGAACTTTGAAAGAATTCGACGATTCTAACAAACAAACAAACAAAATTAAAAACGATTTCACGCGTGAATGTAATTGCCCCCCATTAATTAATTAATAATTTCGCTAATGAAAAAATAATAAAAAGAAATTTCTTTTTTTTTTTTTCGATGCGTTTGTTGCGTTTTTTTTGTTGTTAATCCTGGAAATTATTTTATTACTTTTTTAATTAATGAATATCGCACCGTATAAAAAAAAAAATTTTTTATTTTTGTAATTAAGCAATTGGAGCATTTACTCTATCGCTCACGCGTGTTTAATTAAGAAAAAAAAAAAAGATGGCGGACGATGGGTGGGTAGGTAGGTAGGTTCGAAAAAAATGATAATTTTTTTTTAAATTATGGAAATCGGATTAAGAGTGTCAATAGAATTATAACTGTTAGAATTTGATTGACTTTCACGTTTTTATTATTATTATTATTATCATCTGAAAGCGGGGCACGAGTGGTGAGATGGTGATGGTCGTGGTGGTGGTACCCGCACGTTTGTACAAGTCAAGGTTTTTACACCTGTGGGAAAACTTTTGTCTGCCACGACAGGAAATAATTAACCTATTTATAAACTTTCGTTTTGATTTGTTTGTTAGAGAGTGATTGAAAGAAAATATGATATCGGTGTGCGCGTGCGGGTGTGGGTGTGTACGTTACCTGTAATTATGGGTTGCGTGGGTTTTATCGAAGGCAACGCAGTCGTTGCCGTGGCTGAAGACTGGGGTTCCGTTTGTTGAGGCGACAGTTCCGGAAATGACGATTCCAAAACGGGCGTTGCTTCTCCTATGCCGAACAAAGGTTCGTCGTGAAGAATGGAAAGTTCTAGAAAATCTGTTTTGTTTGATTTGCTTTCGATTTCGGTCGGAGAAATCGATTCGATGGTTGTTGATGATGATGGTACGTCGTAGGTAGTGGCGTTATTTGCAGGCTCGGAAATAATTATTTCTTGGGTTTTATTATTTTTTTCAATTTCCGGTGTCGCCATTGTTGTTGTAGTTGTTGTTGTTGTCGTAATCGGTTGTTGTTGTTGTTGTTCCGTATTGAATATTGCCGATATGTTTAATGTCGGTTTGAAAAAATCATCGCTTTCGTTGATTCCTTCCGTCATCGTTTGATTATCCTCAGATTCTTTTTTTATTAACGTGGCGTCATCATCATCATTCGTTGTATTTATTGTCACGTTGTTTTCTTTCTGCGGTGTCACATCGGTGATGATGATAATTTTGTCAGGGAGGCCGGTGACACTTTCGGTCGTGGTTGTTTTCACTTTATCGCGATCGACTTTCAATGCCGGAAGGGTTTTATTTTGATTTTTATCAATTTGAGAATTCGGAGTAAGGTTCGGTTTTATTCTCTTGTTTGAATTTTTATTCGCCGACATTCCACCCAATTTTTGCGTGCCGGATTTGATTTTCGAAGTTTCCGGTTTACCACTACTACTCGGCGAACTCGGGGTCGTGATGGTGATGTTAAAAGTTTTCGTGGAATCATCGAATTCAAACCTCAGGGGTGGTTTCGTTTCCGTTTTCAAAGTGAACGTCGTCGCTTCCGTCGTTGCTAAAGGATTTTCCGGTTGTAATTCTATTATCGGAACATCCTTTTTATTAAAAGGTTCGCTCATGCTAATCGTGTCGTACTCTAAATGCACTTGGTCGGACGGTAGATTGATCAAAGGAGGTGGTATTTTAGTCGGAGCGTTCGGCACGACTCTTTCCGGTATCGGAACTCCTTCGATAAAGGGATGAGAAGGAAGTTTGAATATGCCGGGTTTGTGAGGTTGCGGAGGCAACGGTATATTAGGCATCGACGGAGGAACGTCAAAGGGATAGGGAGGGTGTAATGGAGGAGGAGGAGGAGGGATTCTTTTCGGAGGAGGAAGAGGTCTATAGGGTCCATCGAAATCGAGTGGAGGAACGTCGGATATTCTCGGGGGTCCTCGATTATTGATTCTCGTGCCTGCGGGTCGGACGGGTCTGACTTTGTGTCCATCAGACGGTTTGGGTGTTTTACCGTTCAGTATGTTAACTATTCCGGTTATTATGTCTTGAATGTCGGGACTCGCCTTGCGATTTTCTTCATCTCTGCTTTCTCTAAAATTACCCGGTGACACCACCACCGTTTCACTAGCTGGTTCTTTGTTAGCGTCATCCACGGTCACTTTGGCTATTTTTTCCAAAGTTTCAGCTATATGATTGTAATTTTTTCCGACTGCGTTTTTCCCTTCTAATTTTTTCTTTCTCTCGTTCCTGTGATTATTCGTCACGTTTTCTTTTTCCTCGTCGTTTAAATTTTCTTTCAGAGAATTACCGAACCCTCTTTTGATTCTTTTATAACTCGTCGATTCGACGTTTGATTTTCGGGGTCCCGATTCTCGTTGTTTCATCGAGACCCCTCGCCCTTCCCCCGCCATTTTTTTATCATTTTTTATATCCGTCGGAGATATTTTCACATTTTCAAACTTTACGGTTTTCGTGGGTTTGATGGCGTCGTAATAATCATCCGATTTTTTGAAAACTTTTGATCTCGTCGTAGTTTTCTCGTCGTTCGATACGTTTTCCGGTTCCGGTCGAACTTGGGAAAAATGAAATTCATTCGATTTCGTTTCCACGGGTATTTCATTTTGATTTTTTTCAACGTAGGAACTATTTTCTAATGATGATAATAATGATGATAATTTTGTCGAAATCATCGGTTCGGAATTTTTCATTTTTACTTTCTCTCTTTCGAAATTGTTCACATCCGGAATGGATAAAGTTTTGGTTTCTTTTATCGATTCGCTTATTTTAATTCTAACATCGTTGAATTTATTATTCTTTTCCAATTGATGACTAGATGTAATTAAAGTTTTTTCTAAATCCTCATCACCTGAAAAGAAAAATTGGAAAAAAACATATATTAAAATTTTGAAAAGGAAATCCGATGTTTGCTTTGATGCACGACAACCTCCCTGCCATCGACGAACCAACCACAAGGCAAATTCATACAAATAAGAAAAAAAGGAAAAAAGGAAAAAAAAACAAGTTGTCAAAAACGATACAATTGAAATTCGAAAAGTAAAAATTGACGGAAACGCCATTAGAAAAACATAACCTGTTTCGATCGGGTATATATTATTGCGTGTTATAAGGAATGCAGGCAGGAGATACCATCCGAAGAATGGTTGGTACCGTTAGCAAAACCTGAAAGTAATAACAAGGACGTAACCATGTTAATTTTAATAAGTTCGCCACTATTTCTTTTCTTTTTTACCTATAATTTTTGGTTTTAAAAAAAAAAAGTCGATAACGATTCTCTTGGTTCGTATTAAATTTTTTATAATTATTATTATTATTATTATTTCTGACACTTTTTCTTCTTCTTCTTCTTTTTCGAAATATTTGTTTGTTTTTTTCTTTTTCACTTCGAAAATGTTATTATTATTATTTAATTATTTTTTATATCGAATTTTTTTTGCCTTGCTTAATGACGAAAGTTTATGACCTAATTGTTCAGAAGGTTGCCATTTTTAATTTTTTAAATTTTTTTTTTAGTTACCGTTAAATCAAATGAAATTTGTTTTTGTTTTGGTTGTTGTTGTTGTGGTTGTTACCGAATGAAATTAACTAATGTACGAAATACATTTTCTTTTAAAAAAATGGGAGAAATAAAAATGTTTTAAAAATTAATTTCGATTCCATTTTTAAGTGTGCAAAGTAATTAATAATAGTCAAAAAAATAAAAAAAGAATGTGAGAGAGAGAGAGAGGGGGAGAGGGAGAGGGGGGGAGAGAGAGGTAATTTTATTAAAATTTAATTTACACCGAGATTGAATCGTTGCTCGATTTGGATGGAATGCAATTTTTTTTCTCTCTCTTCTCCGATTATTACTTACTTACGTGTTTTGTTTGACCCGAATTTTTTTTTTTCAAAAGGAAAATTTACCTGACACGGACACACGTAGGTACGCACCGCGAAAATACTCGACACCAAAAAAAAAAAAAAAAATTACTTAATTATAAGATGAAGAAAGAGAAGAAAGAAAAAAAAAGGAAAAATTAACGGAATTTTTTTTTTGGTAAAAGGAACAGTGGCAGCAGTAGAAGGAGGAGGAGGAAGAGGACATTTTTATTAAAATCGTTTGAAAAAAAGAGAGAGAGAGAGAGGAATCGCGGTCGTGGTGGTAAACGGGAAAAAGGTACCGTAAAAGGAAACCCATCATTATCGTCGTCGTCGAAAGCTGTGGATGGCTCTAAAATGTTGAGAATAAGTAAGAGAAAAAGGTACGTCACGCGGAATATCACCAACCCTTGTTTGCGAAGAGTAAATACTTGAGCAAAGGGTGGTGGTGATGGTGGTGATGATGCTCTAGAACTTTACAATCGGCGGACATAATCAGAAAATCAGGAAAAAAACGAAAGAAAGTCACGAACGCTCGAATTTTAAATTTCGAAAAAGGAGGAAAATTTTCCGAAAAATGCGCACCCCCCATCCCACCCTACCCTCCACCCCTATTAAATTGAAATCTTCGATGAGAAAGAAATTTTCGTTTGGGATGGTGAACGAACGTGAAACTTCATAAACGTGGATCACGAATATAAAAGTGAAAATTATCATTATCATCATCATCGTAATTAAACAATACAAGAAAATTTCACATCGACATTGCAAAATAATAATAATAATAATAATACGATCGTGGTTGGGTTCGAGTCGATACTTCGTTAAAAAAACGATGATGATTATTAAAATAACCGAACCGGTACTTTAAATTATCGGAAATATCCGGGAGAGAAAGAAACAAAAAAGCAAATTTCTCCAGGGCACGTTCAAGTTCATTTCACCTGTACTGGAAGACCTTGCGGACCTTGTGCGGACCTTGCTAATATTATAATAATAATGATAACTTTAAGAAAAAAGAAAAGAAAGAAAAGAAAAAAATTTGACGTATTTTTTTTTTTTTTTTTTTTGAAATTTCTAGATTTTTTTGTCAAACAAGACACGTAATAATAATGAAATAATAATAATAATAATAATATCATTATTATTATTACGTGAGAACCTGATATCGTATTATCGATAAGAATAAATTGGAATCGTTCGGGAATGAAATCATATCCCGGATGCACGCACACAAACATTCTCGGACAAGAGTTGTTTAAATATGGAGAAAGTTGAACGTGTCACGAGAGAGAGAAAGAGGAGTGACAAGGGGGGAAGGGAGGGGGAATGGGTTTTCCCCCCATCCGGATGGAAAAATTTTTCTTTTTTGTTTAAAAAGTCTTACGCAGTAAAGTTTTTATTTATTTACTAATCGCACGTGAATTATTTTTAATCGCTATTATTATTATTATTATTATTATTATTTCATTCATTTGTCCTTTTGCCGTTTATTTCTAAGTGAAAGTTTCGTTTCCCCCCCTTCCTCCTCCTCCTTTTGTAATGATGATGATAATAATCGTAATAGGTTTTTTTTTTTCTAATACGTGGAATATTTCGAAACGCGCGTACACACACACACACACACACATGTCGAACGAATGTTATTATTATTATTATCATCATTATCATTATTATTATTATTAAATGGATACGGTTGAATTAACGTGGCGGATAGTAAGTAAATTAAATAGACCTTGTAGTTGTTTTCATTTAACAAAAACTTTTACTTAGAAACTACTAGAAAAAAAAAAAAAATTTTTTTTAAATTTTCTTATCATCTTATCACCGACACCGATTTTACTCCTTACTTTTATTATTATCATTATTATTAAATAAATAAAAAAAAAGAAAAACGACAGCAACAGGAAAATTTGATGTTGGCGAAATCTCTCGTCATTTGCGGATTAAAAAAAGGATTAACGTATGAATTAAATATCGAAATTTATTATCGTGGCAATAGATCGATTCGAAGTGACGTGAATGAATCGTTTAATGTTTAGCTTACGGAAGAATTTAAATGTAAAAAAATTTAAATTTTTCTTTTTTTTTACTTAGGTCGCATAATTTTCGTCACGATTAGTTGTTTTTGCTATTATTATTATTATTATTGCACTTTCGTAAATGAATGAAATCGAGTTAAGGAGGAGGGGTAGGGGAGAAGGCTGGTAGGGAGATAGAGAGGAGGAGTAGGAGAATTAATTTCGACATGATTTTTTTTTTAAATTTGTCATCCATTGTTTTCGTTAGGATTTGACTGACATTTTTTTACAAAATTTCTCTGATGACTGTTTCCGGTTTTTTTTTTTTAAATTTTTGAGTATTAAATTTAACGGTTTGATTAATTACACGATATTTTTTTAAGGGATTTCCGTTATTTTCAAAAAAAAATTTTTTCGGTATTTTTATTACATTTTTTTGGATTTTTTTAATATTTTTTTGCGGTGAAATATATTAATTGAAGGTAGTTTAGAACGAGTTAGTGCGTGTGCATGTGCGTGTGCGTGTGTGCACAGATAATTTAAGAAACTATAAAAAAATTACTTAAAATGATGATGATAAAGATTGTTCGCATGAGTGCACACGCACCGAATTTTAAGGTTTTTGACATTGATTGTAATTTTTTGAATATAAGAATAAGAAAAATGTCGTTTTTAATTAAATCGTTATCATTATCATCTTTGTTTGGTGATGACGCATTCATTCGGAAAATGTTTGTTTACGTCTGTCGGGGGAAAAAAAAGAAAAAGAAGAAACGTCAGGTATCCACACGTAACAAATCGCGTAGAGATCTCGATGGAGGAAAATAGGGAAAGTTTAAGGGAAAAAAAAACGATTGACCTTCGTGAGAAATAAGATTGAGAAATGGCTGAGGGGCAAACGAAAGAAGAAGATGGAGGAGGAAGTTGAAAAAAGGAAAAATGACCGAAAAGTACGACGAGAAAAAAAAAAAAAAGGAAAGAACGAGAATGATTAGTTCGACTTGAAAATAACAGTAAGAAAAGATGAAGGAGGAGGGTGGAGGGTTGAGAGGAAAAAGAGGTTAGAGACGTGTAATTTAGTCAAAAATCGTTCAAACGTGGCAAAAGAATCGAGTAAAAGATTGAATATTAAATGAGCGGGGGAGGGGAGAGAAATAAAAAAAAAAAAAAAAAAAAAACGAAAAATTGATTATGCGCGCGTTTAATTACGTCGAAAACATTTTTTTTTTTTTTTTTTTGTCAGGGGTACCAAAATAACAAAACTTAAAAAGAAAAAAAATTTTTTTTTCATTCATTTTTAAGGTCGTTAATTTTAATTTACGTGTAAACATCAAATTATTGGATTAAATAATTTTGTCATTTTATTACTTTTATGTAATTTTAATGAGGGGAGCAAAGGATGAGGGAGGAAGGAATGGGAGGAGGAGGAGGAGGAGGAGGAGGGGGAGGAGGAGGGGGAAAGAATGGGGGGTCAGAAGAAGAAAGGAAAGTAATTAAAAGAAGAAGAAAAGGAAGTGATGAGATGAAATTTTCAATTCGACATTTTTAAACGGGAATTTTTTCTTTTTTTTGGCGGGAAAATTGTTCGAATCGCATTAAGGAAAAGAAAACCGTTAGATTGTTTTTTTTTTTTTTGGTGTTTGTGTTTGTTAGGTAAGGAAAAATGGGTTAAATGATTTTTTATTTTCTTTCGACTTATTACGCGCGTTCAGAACAAAAAAAAAAATTAACTGTAAAAATTCATGAAACTACAAAAAAAAATTGAAATTAAAATTAAAATTACCACGGTCGAATTTTTTTTTTTGTTGCCCTCCCCCCTCCCCGACGGTTCTCCGCACTCGCACCCGCACCCGCTATACAAAAGCAACACGTTTTTGTTCTAGAAATAAAATAATGAATAAACAAAACGAAAATTTTTTGTCGTATTCACCGTAGGAGGGGCGAAAAAAAAAAAAGACAAAAAAAATTTTCTGGAACCACGTTCGATAAAAAAAAACCGTTAACCGTTACGTTAAAAAAATTTTTTTAGGGATTTTTTTTTTTTTTTTTACTTAATGTCAACGGACAAAAAATTAAACGACGTAAA